GGGGTCTCTGCTCCATAGGGAGCCTGCTTCCTCCTCTCTCTCTCTGCCTGCTTCTCTGACTACTTGTGATCTCTGTCTGTCAACAAATAAATAAAATCTTAAAAAAAAATAATTTAGGAGAGACTCTCCTTGACATAGTATTAAAACATATCACAAACCACAGTAATTTATTTTGTGGGGGCGGGCAGCAAAGTAAAGTTTATTGAGCAACAGCAAAGTGATAGTACAAAGCTCCTAGGGAGGGAGGGGGCCTGAGAGGGCTGCCCACAAAGCGTGGTAATGTAAACATCGTAGAACCCTGCTCTTACGGCTTTCCTTTATGGGTGATTAAAGCTTAACCTCCTTAGCATATTTATTTAACTGCCTTAGTTTTTTTTTTTTTTTTTTTTAAGATTTCATTTATTTATTAGAGAGAGGGAGAGCGAGCACAGGCAGAGTGGCAGGCAGAGGCAGAGAAAGAAGCAGGCCCCCCGCTGAGCAAGGAGCCCAATGTGGGGCTCGATCCCAGGACGCTGGGATCACGACCTGAGGTGAAGGCAGCCGCTTAACCAACTGAGCCACCCAGGCGTCCCAAACTGCCTTAGTTTTTAAGCAAGGAAATTTGGTCACCCCGAAAGAGTAAACTATGACCTTCTCACGAAGATTGAGATGAGCCAGCATTCACTTGGGGTTTGTTTTGGAGCTGCCACTCCTGGGGATGGCTTCCCCAAGACGGCTGGGGTGGACCCCAGGGCTGGCCCACGTGGGAGCGGCTCCCCTCTGAGCACTCAGCAGGGTCTGCAGGCCTCTCCGTCCTGTAGCGAAGCCTGATTCAGCATGAAAGAGGTCAGAAAATTCACAGGACGCTCCTTAGGTAAGATCAGTGAGATAGGGGTTGTTTGTTTTCTCTTTTAGGGTGAAATTGTTAAGAAGTATACTCAGTTCAATCCTAAAACCTATGAAGAGAGGATTAATTTAATCCTACAGATGTGTGTAGAAGCTGCGGCAGAAGCTGTAAAACTGAACTGCAGAATTTTGGGAGTAGGTGAGCTTGTGAATTGCATATTCAAGAAATGTTCATTTTGATACAGAGTTTACTGAGTTCTGATGCATGAATGACCCATCAGGTCACTGCCCTGTGTATGTGGCTCCAGGTCCTGTCTGTGGGTCCCAAGCATGGGGACTTTCTGGAACAGCAGCCATCATTATGGGTATAGTGGTGGGGAGCTGCAGATGTAGCTCAGAATTGCCTGACATTTCCTTGCAGTCTTTGGTAATATTTGTCTTAGGAGATTTTGGGTGAATTAATTTGTGTTTGAAACCCAGAAAGTGGGCACACTTTTTTCTAAGATTGCTTGTGAGAATTGTTTTCCTGGTGTGTGTGGTGGAGCTCAGGTATTTCTACGGGCGGCCGTGTAAATCCTCGGGAAGGAGTTGTGCTGCATTCAACCAAACTGATTCAAGAGTGGAACTCTGTGGACCTCAGGAGCCCGCTCTCTGACACCTTGCATCTCCCTGTGTGGGTGGACAACGATGGCAATTGTGCTGCCCTGGCAGAAAGGAAATTTGGCCAAGGAAAGGGCCTGGAAAACTTTGTGACACTTATCACAGGCACAGGTGAGTGGAGTAAGTGAAGGTCACTTTGGGAGTTCGAGTGTGTGTTGGGGCATGCCCTCAGTGTCCTCCAGGGAGCTTGTAAGTCTGCTTCAGTCTCCACCTCCTGCTTGAGTAGAGCCAGAAGGGGAGCCCTGTGTGAGTGCATAGGGCCCTCCTAGGCTTTCCTAAGCGTGTGCCCTGCCCTGGGTATGCATGTGGACCTCAGACTCCCAGGGACTTGTCAGAGCTATTCAGAGCCCTTACTCCCTGAAGCTTCTCCTTCCCAGCTTCTCTTCCCAGTCTTTTTGGTTAGTATAATATTTGCCTCAACTAGCAGCTGTTGTCCTGGGCAGCAGAGACTAATAAACAGATTTTTCCTTTAAATGTCTTTGACAACACTCCCCCACTCCCCACCCCTGCCCCAGGTAGCCCCCTCCAGTTCTGTGGTAGATAACATAACAAACTCTTTGAGCTGGTCCTCTAGGAGCTGCCAAGGAGGTGAAAACAAACTAGAACAGTTTTTTGAAAATAGAGTTTGTCTTGCTTACTCCAGTACTGCCATCTTTGCTGAGAATGTGGGCTGGTTCAGGGCTACCAAACAGGGGAGCAGGTTTTGGGATCAGAAAGTGTCAGAAAGCCTTCTTATTAAAATTCAGCTGTTTTTTTTTCCCTTGATTAAGCATTCCTCTTTTTGTTACAAACTTGTTAGTTTCCAGAGTTCCAAAAAAATTGGTTCTGACAGTTTTTGCTGATTTATTCATTGCTTTAGTGTAGGGATGGACTTCTGGAGCTGCCTACTCCCCCATTTTTGCTTATGTCCTGCTTTGTTTTCCAAATGAGGAAAGACTCAGCCAGTAGGTGGTTGAGCCACCATGTGATCCCAGATAGGTCTAACCTCAAAATGTGTGTGCTCTTCAACTCTCCTCTCTACCTCCCCTGGAAGCTCAAGCCCTTCTCCTAGTCTCAGACACAGTTTTAGCAAGGTTGCATATCATTTCCTAGATGTTCTGTCAGAGCGGACAGTCTGCAGATTAGAGGGGAGGAGTTGAAGAGTAGGTGCCATGGGAAGTAACTGATGGCAGGATAAGAAAGCAGGGCCTTCTCAGGCTTTCCTCCTTAATGACTCCTAAACTCCATGAAACAAGAGAGTCATTGATATTCATAATCACTGAGTCACAGATTTTTAGACGTGCATTAAGAAGAGGCAAAATCATATTTTGTATGCTTTGTTTGAGAAACAGGGTGGTACATGATATATTTTGGAAAGATGGTCTTCTCTTGGGTTTCCCCTACACCAGAGCCCAAGATGAGGACTTAGGGTATTTTATGTAGGAGGTGATCCTGAGAAGCAGGAATGAAGGAGTGGGAAGAGAACAGAGTAGGTGGAAAGCCATTATCCAGGTTGTCTTGAGGGCAGTGGGGGCTGAAATCTACCAGAACCTCCCAAGAAGTCTGCAGAAGACCATGCAGAATCGTCCACTAGACTCTGCTGGCTCTTGTCTTGCTTGGTTGAGGACATCCTGTGCTCTCATGGGTGATGAGACTCTCTATTGTTAGAGATGGCCTCGGTGAGGAGACAGGCCGTGAGTCACTCTCACGGGTGGCATACTTGTCACACAGTGAGTCTGAGCCTACATGGGTCTGTTCCCCACAGCTGTCGTTGAAACCACCGCGAGCCAAGTAGATGCAACACAGGGTTGCGGCATTAGGGTTAGGGTTGGGGATCTGCTTAAAGCATTTCCCTCCAGAATGCTTCCAGGTGAAATGCTGGTACTTAGTTAAATGTCAGCTACTTAGGAAAGAACCCCACGTGCCACACTGCTAAACGGACGAAGCGTTGCTTGTATCCCAGCTTCCTGTGTGAGCTGAGAGCCACCTCAGTGACTGTTCTCTCGCTGCAGGGATCGGCGGGGGGATCATCCATCAGCACGAGCTGATCCACGGAAGCTCCTTCTGTGCTGCAGAACTTGGCCACCTTGTTGTGTCTCTGGATGGGCCTGATTGTTCCTGTGGAGGTCGTGGATGTATTGAAGCCTACGCCTCTGGAATGGCCTTGCAGAGGGAAGCAAAGAAGCTACATGATGGTTGGTTTCTTTCGCCTGAGGAATTAAATAGTTAAACAGTAGACAAGTATTTCAAAGTAGATGTTCCAGAAAGAGCTGGATACTGAAGCCAGAACTTCTACCCTTCTTGCTTTCTGGAGGAAAGTTGGGGCTTCCTCATGCCCAAGCTCTGAAATCCCCTTAGTCTGACCCATCTTAACACTTTCCACTCCATGTGGGGATGGACAAGGGTCTTGCGCTCCGGACAGCGGGGAAGATTTGACTGTTGTCTCCTCAGCCCCTAGCCCAAGCACTAAGTGGATTAACACATTACAGTTGTGAGCGTCAAGAAGTCTATTTGAATTAGTTGTTTCTGGACATGTTATAAAAGTCAGGATGGTTTCTGGTCTAAAGCAATTTACAGTCATTTACAGTCAGCATCAGGTGTGCTGAGAATGCTGGCCTGGGAATGTAGATGCACATAAGGACACCAGTGTTCCCTCCTTGCCCTCTTCATACAGGGAAGGGAGTGTTAGGGTGCTCTCTGGGGTTGAGAGAGGCTAAATAGAATTAGCGGGGCAAGTTGGGATGAGCCCAGGATGCTCTCAAGCCTGGGAAACAGTGCTATAGGATCATAAAGGGCAACATAGGGTCAAATGTTTAAGATGGGAGGCCAAGACCAGCAGCCAATGGAGAAGACATTGAGAACTTCTGGGGGGAAAACCGTGGTCATATCTGAATTTTACACTCTTCACGAAACAGCTCTTTGTTTTTGGGGAGAAAATTACTAGTTGAGTGGAGTAGCTTTAGATGGTGCCATTCTAGATTGACTTCTGGTTTTCTGGTCGGATGGGGTGGGAATATAGGAGGAGAAACCAGCTGTGGCAGAAGGGGATGGTTGGGTGGCTGTGGCACGTTGCTGGAGATGTTCAGGCGGCAGCTGGCTGTGGGGCCCTGGTGCTCAGGAGAGAGGACTGGGCTAGAGGTGGGGATTTGGGAATCATTAGCACTGAGGTGTCAGTTAAACCTCTGCATGAGATTTGGAGGGAGGCAAGAGTCCGGGGTGGAATCCTGTAAAACAGCATTTAACAGGCGGAAAGGAAAACCAGGAAAAGGTAAAATCACAGAAGCCGAAGGGAGAGTTTCAAGGGGGGGGGGTAGTTGGAATGTCAAGCGCCGCTTATGAGTAAGAGGAAATCAGAGGAGTCCTATTGGCTTTGGCCCTGAGGACATCATTTGAAACCCTGAAAAACTTTGTTTTTCAACTTCATTTTTATCATTAGCCTCCCTTAGGGGCCTGTTCAGACATTTTCCCCCTAATCATGGCCCCCACACATGCTGCTTCAGTGCCGCAGATCCACTGCTTATCTGTTTGTGCTTATGTACTATTTGTATAAAAAGAGTAAGCTTTTTTTTTTCTCTTTTGTCTCAGAAACCAGTTTTTGTTCCCCTGGGGGCAAATTCATGTCTTAAGAAAGAGCGAATTCAGTGAATTCAGTATAGGGAACAGAAGCCTGACTACACTGAGGGAGAGGGAAGAAGTGCTTTGAGGACAGGGAGACTGAGCGCCTACAGGCGGCAGGGATGCAAGTGAAGTTGGAGAAAGCAGGAGAGAAGGGGCGCTTGAGTCCGCACCGCAAGGCTCCTGAGGAGCCGGGGGGATGAGCTGCAAGGCCCGGGCGGCGGGCCTGAGAGACGGAGAGGGAGCGTGAAGGTGTGCAGATACAAATGTCTTTTTAGGCAGGGGCAGGAAAGGAATGGAACCCCTGCCTCGTGGGGTCCTCTCTCGGAGAGGTGCGCAGTCTGGAGATCGCGTGATGGTGGGGACGGGGTAGAAGGTTTGAGGTGGTGGAAACTGAGAAGAGTCCTGAGGGGGAATGGGAGAGAGCTGGCAGGGCAGCTGTGAGGAGACCCCAGGGTGGGGGTGGGCGGGATAGCAGCCTGCGTGTTGGGGTTTGCTCTCATCAGAGCCCAAGCATGATAGCAGATGAGGAGGGAGATGGACCTGGGTCCATGACAGGCAGAGTGCGGGGCGGGAAAGACAAGGACTGCAGATAGTGGGCCTACTTACTGTTGAGTGAGCACTGACTCTGGCTCTCTTTTTGCCTGAGCTCTTTTTTGTCCATGGTCTCATATAGTTCCTCAAATAATCCTGCTAGGGTATGTGGTGTTACCCCCATTTTCTAGAGAAGGCTCCAGAAGTGATGCGACCTGGATGGGGCGGTGCCGCGGGTCATGGCCGAGCTGGCGACTGAACCCCTGTTCATGTCAGTGCTTTAGGCGGTGCCCTAGAATGGCGGGGGCGGGTGGGGGGGTCTGCAAGTGACGGGACGTGCACCTGGGATGGATCAAGGAAGGAGAGAAATAGACGAGTCTCTGTTGCATGAGGAAGTGAGAAGTCGGAAGCTCGAGGGCTGGCTAGGAGGCTCTGGTGGGAGGGCTTGCTGACCGCAGGTGCAGGTGGACTTCTCAGCCCGGCCCCCTGCAGGGCTGCCACAGCTCGCTAATGACTGCTGCTTCTCCCCGCTGCTCAGAGGACCTGCTCTTGGTGGAAGGGATGTCAGTGCCGAAAGACGAGGCCGTGAGCGCGGCCCATCTCATCCAAGCTGCGAAACTTGGCAACGTCAAGGCCCAGAGCATCTTGAGAACAGGTGAGGGTGTGGCTCTGGTCCGGGCAGCCCTGCCATGGGCGGGCCCTCGGCCTGCCCAGGGTTCCCGCACACACCAGCTTCCCTCGGGACCAGCGCTCTGGAACGTGTGTTCGAAGGTGTTTTCCTGCTTTCTGAGAGAGAAAAAGGGAATGGCGTTCGAGGTATTTGGCAGCACTGCCGTTATTAAACAGGTTTTTTGTTTCATTTTACGACTATGAATAAACTACTTGTCCATCTTATAGGAGAGTAAGAAAAAGTATCACTTCAAGTTTTAACCATTCAGAGATGAACTATTAACATTTCCTTCCAGTCTTTCCTTTTTTTTTTTTTAAACATAGTAGAGATCATATGGTATAGTATATAGTATACCTAGCTTTTATTTTTTAATACCTAGCTTTTAAAATTTTAAAGCATAACATCATTTTCTCATACTAAGAATAAATCATGGGGCGCCTGGGTGGCTCAGTCATTAAGCATCTGCCTTTGGCTTAGGTCATGGTCCTGGGGCCCTGGGATTAAGCCCCACATTGGGCTCCCTGCTTGGTGGGAGGCCTGCTTCTCCCTCTCCCACTTCCCCTGTTTGTATTTACTCTCTCGTCTCTCTGTCAAATAAACAAAATCCTTAAAAAGTTAAAAAAAAAAAAATCACACATCTCTTTACAACCACCACTTTTCTGTTACATAGTGAGAAGGTACTAAGTATTCCAGGCTGCTGACTCTTTTCTACCATGCTCTGGTGGGTTTTTTGTTATGGTGGGTTTTTTTGTTTGTTTGTTTTGTTTCTTAAATATTCTATTTATTAGAGAGAAAGAGTGTACTAGCAGGGGGAGTACAGCCAGCTAGCTGTACAGGCAGGACAGACAGACTCCCCACTGAGCAAGGAGCCCAGCGCTGGCTGGAGCCCAGTCCTGACCTGAGCCACCCAGGCTTGATTTGGCTCTCAAGATTTACTTTCTTTTTTTTGTTTTCTTGTAGCTGGAACGGCTTTGGGTCTTGGGGTTGTGAACATCCTCCACACCATAAATCCTTCCCTTGTGATCCTCTCTGGAGTCCTAGCCAGTCACTACATCCACATCGTCAAAGACGTCATCCGCCAGCAAGCCTTGTCCTCGGTTCAGGATGTAGACGTGGTGGTGTCGGATTTGGTGGACCCTGCGCTGCTCGGTGCTGCCAGCATGGTTCTGGACTACACGACTCGCAGGATCTGCTAGGCCTCCCAGGGGTGCACCCGGACCGAGACTCTAAGCTTCTTCGTGGAATCAGGTTGTCTTTTAGACGAGCATTTCTTAAAAAGCAGATTTGGTATTTAAATTTGGTATTTGGCAGGTGACTTCGGCAGTTAAATTTTTGCTTTTAGTCTCCTCTTCCGAAGCCACCTTTCCCAACCCCCATTTTTGTAGATGCTGCTCCTTCTGGGGTCATTTCAGCTCAAACCCTCTAAGCACCAGTCACAATCTTCTGTGCCAAAGTTGCTGTGACAGTAGACAAGGACGCCTCAGGGCTCTGCTACTAGACGGACCACGTAGACCTACAGGCCTTGCCTGAGGCGGGGCCTCAAGACTGGAGTTTAGATCGTTCATCCTTCCTCCTCTGGCCCTAAACTCCGATTGCAGAAAGGGATCCGGTCAGGAAACAGAAGGAAATCTCACTGTGAAAGGCTTGAGTAAACTTTTTTTAAAAACCGCTTTCCTGAGGTATTTTTAAAAGTGTACAATTTGATAAGCTTTGACATATGTATACCCCTGTGAAACCATCACTGCAGTCAAGACATTGGACACCTCTGTCATCCCCAAATGTTGTTTGCTTAATGCTGTTATTTATGACCCTTGCAGAATCTTGAGCAACTTTAGGGATCTGAATGAGTCACCTTCTTGATCTTGTCCTTATCTTCTTAAGGACAGCTGAGAAGCCACTAGGACTTACAGCCTGTGCAAGGAGATTAACCATCCCCAAAGGATCTTTGCGACCGACAGATACCTCTCCCTTCAATAACCTTTCCTGCTAATGTTGGGTATGACCTTGGGAGTATCCATTAAGCGAGTACTTGTGGAGCTCGTATCTGTGAATCTGGATTCTGGCTAAATAAGATCCTGTGCTTTCACTGGTGTCAGGATACAAAGGCCAAGGTTCTTACTATCAATTTTAACCTAGAAGAAATACTAAGACCCTCCATTTGTTAAGTGCCTACTGGATGCCGGGCTCTGAACTAGGTGCTTCATATACATTATTCCTAATTCGTACAACCTGGGAGGTAGATGTCCTCATTTCCATTTTATACAGCCCCAAACTAAGTCCTGATGTGCTGCAGTGATTACCTAAAGCCTTGTGGCTAGTGAGTCTTAGAAACAGGGTTTGATCCCAGGTCCCTCTGTGCTTTTCTGCTATGCCACACAACCTCTCAGATAAGAAACTTGCAAAATGTGAATATATCTTGATTTACTTCATACTACCAACAGCTTCAGTAAGACTGACTCAATTTGTCTTTGATGCTGTCCTTCAGTGATAAACTTAATCAAATATTCCTCTATGCTGTAGACATTTTGCCAATGCAGTATTTGGTCCAGTGACAGGTTTTTATGGGTACTTTTAGATGATCTAAAAAAGCATATGCATGTTTTTCAGATTTTAATTTTAGGAAAACCTGAAGGTTTGCATTGTTTTGGTGTTAGCATACAAAATAAAGTGAAAGAATCTATATTGCCACTTCCTTTCTGGTGGTTAATGTGAAAAGATAGGTTGGCTGATTCTTAGAATTCCACCAGCCCTGAAATAATCTCCACATCCTGGTTATTGTTGAAAAATTCCTCAGTGATTCCCAGGAAGGAAGCTGGTCGCTTGGCCATCAGCGCCCCGGTGGAGGTAGCGGACTGTGAAGGGCATTGGTTGTCCCTTGGCGACATCTCTGACTGCCCTGTCCACTAGATAGGTGCATTGCTACCAAGTTTTATACCAAATATTTGGAAGGATGGTACTAAATCTAAAACCAAATCTTAGTTTTTATTAAATTCACGAAAAGGCTAATATATTCCAACGTAATTATTACATATGCTTAAATAATCACATATTTATTTTAATGTAAATATTTTTATGTTACTGTTCTGAGCCAAATTCTAAAGAAAAAATAAATATATTTCTCTGTGGAAAGCCTAACATTTTTGCATTTTGTTTTCTTAATTAACTTTAAAATCCCTTTCTAGAAGAGATTTTGTTGCACTGCTTGCTTTTTGAAGGTCATGTAACTTCTTAAGGCATCTAATGAATTTCCTAACAGTAACAATTTTTTTGATAATAGGGAGCATTAATGTATTACATTTATATATATTGCAAAATGATCACCACAGTAAAAGAACCATCACCGTACATACAGAACTATTCTTTCTTGTTACGAGAATGCGTATGATCTACTCTTGCAGCAGCTTTCAAATACACAGTATAGGCATATATATAGCATGAACATACTTTGTTTTATTGCGCTTCACAGATAATGTGTTGTTACAAAGGTTTGTGGCAATCCTGCATCACACAAGTCTCTTGGCACCACTTTTCCAATAGCATTTGCTCACTTTGCGTCTCTGTCATCTTGTGGTAATACTCGTAGTATTTCAAACTTTTTTGTTGCAGTGATCTGTGATCAGTGATCTTTGATGTTACCGTTGTGTTTGGGGCACTACGAACTGCACCCACGTGAGATGGTGACCCTAACTGGTCTGTGTTCCGACTGGTCCATTGACCCATCCATGCCTCCATCTCCCTCCCTCTCTTCCTACCTCCCTATCCCCGAGACACATATTGAAATTAGGCCAATTAATACCCTGCAGGAGCCTCTGTGTACTCAAGTGAGAGGAAGAGTTAGACATCTCTCACTTTCAATCAGAGCTAGAGATGGGTGAGAAAGGCCTGTCAGAAGCTGAGATAGGCCAGAGCTAGGCTTCTCAACGCCTAACAGCCAAGCTGTGAATGCGAAAGTTCCTGAAAGAAATGAAAAGTGCTACGCAAGTGAACACGAAAAAGATAAGAAAGCAAAACAGCCTATTGTTGCTATGGAGAAAGTTTCAGTGGTCTGGATACAAGATCAAACCAGCCACAACAGTCCCTTAAGCCAAAGCCTCATCCAGAGCAAGGCCCTAACCCTTCAGTTCGGTGACGGCTGGGAGAGGTGAGGAAGCTTCAGGAGAAAGCTGGAAGCTAGCAGGGGTTGCTTCCTGAGGTTTAGGGAACGAAGCCGTCTCTGTAACCTCAAAGCGCGAGGTGAGGCCGCAGGTGCTGATGCAGAAGCTGCAGCAAGTTCTGGAAGATCGGGCTAAGATCGTTCATGAAGGTGGCTCCACTAAGCCACGGGTTTTCGATGAAGACGAAACAGCCTTCTACTGGAAGAAGATGCTTTCTAGAACTTTCCGAGTCAGAAAGGAGAGAGAAGTCAATGCCTGGCTTCAAACTGCAAAAGGACTGGTTGACTCTCTTGCTCGGGGCGAAGGCAGCTGGTGACTTTAAGTTGAAACCGTGTTGACATACTATTCTGAAAATCCTAGGCCCTTAAGAATTCTGCTGAATCTGCTCTGCCTGTGCTCTGTAAATGGAACAAAGTCTGGATGACAGCACGTCTGTTTACAACATGGCTTGCTGAACTTAATTTTAAGCCCACTGTTGAGACGTCCTGCTCAGAAAAAAGATTCCTTTTTAAGTTCTACTGCTCGGGGAGCCTGGCTGGCTCAGTCATTAAGCATCTGCCTTCAGCTCAGGTCATGATCCCAGGGTCTTGGGATCGAGCCCCATGTCGGGCTCCCTGCTCGGCAGGGAGTCTGCTTCTCCCTCTCCCTACTGTATGTGTTTTCTCTCTCAAAAAGAACAAAGATAGCTTAAAAATATTGCTGCCCTTGACAAGGCACCTGGTCACCCGAGAGCTCTGACGGAGATGTACAGTAACGTGAGTGGTGTTTTCAAGCCTGCTAACACCCGTCTACCCCACAGCCCGTGGGTCGAGGAGTCATTTCAACTTTCAAGTCTTATTTAAGGAATACATCTCATCAGGGTATGGCTGCCACGGATGGGGATTCCTTTGATGGATCTGGGCAAAGTTAATCGATAAACCTTCTGGAAAGGATTCACCACTCCCAATGGCATTAAGAATATTTGTGGGGCACCTGGGTGGTTCACTTAGTTGAGTGTCCAACTCTTAGTCTCCGCTTAGCTTTTAACCTCAGGGTTGTGAGTTCAAGCCCCTTGTGCTCCATCCTGGGCACGGAGCCTACTTAAATAAAAACAAAACATTCATGATTCATGGAAGAGCTCAAAATAGCAACAGCAATGGCAGTTTGGAAGAAGCTGACTTCAGCCCTCACAGATGACTTTGAGGGGTTCCAGACTTCAGTGAAGGAAGGAAGTGCAGATGTGATGGAAATAGCAAGGGAACTAGAATTAGCAGGGCAGCCTGGAGATGTGTCTGAATTGCTCTAATCTCAGGATAAAACTGTAACAGATGAGGAGTTGCTCCTATGGATGAGCAAAGAAAGTGGTTTCTGGAGATGGAATCTGCTTCCGGTGGAGATGCTGTGCAGCCTGCTGCAGTGACAACAAAGAATTTACAGAGTGCGTAAACCCAGTTGACCGAGCAGTGGCAGGGCTTGAGAGAATGGACTCCACTTTCAAAAGAAATTCTGTGGGCAAAACGCTATCAAATAGCATCAAATGCTACTGAGAAATTGTGAAAGGAGGAGTCAACTAATGTAGCAGACTTCACTGTCTTAAGAACTTGCCCCAGCAGCCCCAGCCTTCAGCAGCCACCACCCTGATGAGTCCAGAGCCCTCAACTTTGAGGGCAAGACCCTCCACCGGCAAGAAGATTACAACTCGCTGAAAAGTTCCGATGATGGCTGGTATTTTTTAATTCAGGTATATCTGTTTTTTAGACATAATGCTGTTGCACACTTAGTGTAAACATTTATATGCTCTGGGAAACCAGAAAACTCGTTTGACTCACCTTATTGCGATGTTCCCTTTGTTGCAGCGCTGGGGGGGGCTGACCGGGCACTGTCTACAGGGTGGGCGTCCGCTACTGATGTCCTTGCCATGCTCTACATCACTGCCCCATGACTTCTATAACTGGACATTTGCACCTTCTGACTCCCTTTACCCAGTTTACCTCCCCCCTCCTCACTCTTCACCCCCGACAACCACTGGTCTGTTACTGGTCTTCTGTATCTGTGAGCACGGTTGTTGGTTCTTGGTTTTCAGATTCCGCATGTAACTGAGATCACACAGTAATCGTCTCTCTCTTTGCTCTCAAGGTCTATCCAAGTCACAAATGGCAATACTCCATCCTTTTTTATGGCTGAATCGTACTTCATTATGACAGTGTGTGTGTATGAAAAAATATAGAGAGAGACAAAATACATAAGATATTTATCTATATGTATATATAGATACACACATGTATCTATATACACATTTTCTGGTAGTTTTACTTTTAAACCTCTGAGGAACCTCCACACCATTTTCTACAGTAGCTACACCAATGTGCTTTCCTACCAACACAGCATAAGGGTGGTCTTTCCTCCACATTCTCACCAACACTTGCTGTCTTTTTGCCAACAGCCATTGTAAGAGGTACAAGGTGTTAATCTCATTGTGGTTTTGATTTGCATTTCCCTGATGAGGGATAGTGAGCAACTGTTCATCTATCTGTTAGCCATCTGTGTATCTTTAGAAACGTGTCTGTTCAGATCCCCTAATTTTTAGTTGGGTTTTTAGTTTGTTTTGGGTATTGAGTTATAGTTTTTTTTTTTTTTTTTTAAAGACTTTATTTGAGAGAGAACAAGAGAGCACAAGCAGAGGGGCTGGCAGAGAGAGAGAGAGAGAGAGAGAGAGAAGCAGACTCCCTGCTGAACCCTGGGATCATGACCTGAGCCAAAGGCAGATGCTTAACCAACTGAGCCACCCAGGCGTCCTGAGTTATAGGAGTTTTTTTTTTTTTTTTTTGAAGATTTTATTTACTTATTTGACAGGGAGAGCATAAGCAGAGGGAGTGGCAGGCAGAGGGAAACAGAAAAGCAGGCTCCACGGCTGAGCAGGGAGCCTGACTCAAGGCTTGATCCCAGGGTCCTGGGATCGTGACCTGATCTGAAGGCAGACGCTTAATTGAGCCACCCAGGTGCCCCTATAGGAGTTTTAAAATATATTTTGGATATTAACCCCTTAGCAGATGCGATTTGCAAATACTTTCTCCCATTCACCAGGTTGCCTTTTCATTTTTTTGTTGGTTTCCTTTGCTGTAGAGAAGCTTTTTAGTTTGATGTAGTCCCATTTGTTTATTTTTGCTTCTGGGGTGAGATTCAAAAAATCACCCAAGACTGACATCAAGGAGCTTACAGCCTATTGGTTTCAAGTCTTTAATCCATTTTGAGTTTACATGGTTTACAATAGTGATGGTTTACAATAGTGATGGTTTACAATAGTGATCTAATTTTCCCATCACCATTTACTGAAGAGATGGTCCTTTCTCAATTATATTCTTGCCACCTTTGTCATAAATTAACTGATCATACACCCACGGTTTTATTTCTAAACTCTCTGTTCTATTGATCCAGAGCATACTGTTTTGATTATTATAGCTTTGTAATGTAGTTTGAAATCAGGGAGCATAATGCCTCCAGCTTTGTTCTTTCTCAAGGTTGTGTTGGCTATTTGGGGTCTTTAGAGGT